GAAACAAGGGGGTTGGGGGGAAAGGAAGGGAGCAGAGGGCAGGGGAGAGAAATGGCCCAAACGATGTATGCATATATGAATAAATGAATAAAGAAAAAAAACCCTGATTCGCCAAGTGTTAAATTTTATCAGTCTCTATGTGTGCATGGCAGATGTGAATAAACACAACTGTATACACATGGTATACATAATATACAAATATTTTTTTTTCTGAAACGTGGGAGAAAATTTCATACGTGTCTTTTTACTCCTTAGTATTGCCGATCTCGTACAAAACATACACAGAAAGTTTAACATTAACACAATATTTATGTTGAATCTACAGTCCAAATCCAACTTCATCAATTATCCCAAAAACATTGCTTGTAACTTTTCTCCACCGCTTAAAGGATCTCGTTCAGAGTCACATAATGCATTTTGATGTCACATTCCCCTAGTGTCTTTAATCTGCAGCCATTGTCTTATGCCATCGACAGTAGTTTACAAAGATAAGGCTAATTCTGTTTCATTTTCCTCTGATGCTTCATGATTAGATCTAGGTTCAAGCTCTTCAAAACTGGTGCAAGGATGTACTGCCAGACATACTTCTTTTCCTCCACTGCTTCTTAAGACCGGATCTACTCACGCCTATTATATTTATATGTTTGTAAAGCATTTCTGTTAAAGTAGGTACACGGGCATTTCATAAAAACAAATTTTAACAAAAAATATTTTACTTAAAATACCTAATTGTTTTGAAAGCACTTGTTTACTTTGTGCTTTACAGTTTCAAAGATGTGAAGTTTACTTAATAATGGATCTGACTTACCTAAATCATTTTATCAATTGTATTATCACTGAGTATAGAAATAGTTCCCCAGAGAGAAGTTCTGGAAAATATCAAGGTTCAATGATTTTTACTACCAGTGAATAAGTTAAAATTACAGCATCTTTCCATTTTTTAAGTCCTAATTTACTTTTGTTTCTTTTAATAGCTCCAATGGAGAGAAAAATGTTCATTTTTTCATTATTAGCATTTTTGGTTTTTGAAGTGGTAAAAGTTTTAAATTGGTGCTGTATCTCAGTATCTCAACCTTTTTAAAGATTGAGCAAGGAAAAAACGAAGTAGGGACTGTACCTAAAGGAGAGGCTGTACTTCCTAAAATATGCTTTTTAAAAAACCTCTCGCTGTGGCAATTGAGCTCACAGTGGAAATACACGAAAAATGATCCTTCAGGGCTTTTCTCGGGAGTACGAACTGTTTCACGGAAGAAATTGGCAGCAATATGGACATTTTGGACAAGGACAGATACATGCCGTCGTTTTTTGGACAACACAAAAGCGGTACAATTTTTAAATAAATACATCGTGAGAAATGTCTGAGTGTTCACTTTTTTTTTTTTCCTGGAGAAAATTAAACAAATATTTCTTTAAGAAGATAGAAACTCCAAGTCTTCTCCCCCCCCCCCACCCCAAGCTAAAGTGTCTTTGGCTCCGCTTCCAGGACTTCTAGGAACGTGCAATTAAAATAAAATGGAAACGGCAAGTCCCTTGCAGTATTCAGCTCTTTTCACTCCCCCGAGTGCTCGGGAGAAGTCCGAGCCCGCCTCGCCCCAGCCCTGGGGAGCGCAAGCTGCGAGCTCCGCGCGCGCACGGCGCCTCGCGCGTGCACGGCCCCCGGCCCGGCTCCCCGGAGCCGGCGCCCGGCCCCGTCCGAGGGGGTGTGTCCCGCTCGCCGCCTGCGCAGCGCGCGCCCCGCAGCGGCCCACCTGCTCCGCCCCGCCCCCACCGCGCGGCGCCGCCGCGTTGCTCTGCCGGCGGCCCCGCAGGGCGACCCGCCGCCCGCCACCCGTTTCCGCCCGCCCGGCGAGCCCCTGGGCGACGGGTGACGGAGACGGCCGCTGCAGTTCCTTCCTCCCGTCAGCCCGAACCGCTGTCTGCCCCCATGTGTACGTGTGTGTGCGTGTGCATGTGTGTGGAGGGAACCCCGGCACCCCCTCCCCCGGCCGGGGACCCCCGCAACACCCCGCGCACTGGGGCAACGTACCCCGCACCCCGCCAGCCGGGCGTGGGGATTGCGAGTGTCGGGGGGCGGAGTAGGGGCGGGGAAAGAGCATCCCCGCTCCGCGGCCGCCGCCGCGCCCCCGCCGCCCGGCTGGGGGAGGCCTCGTCACAGCCGCCGCCTCAGCAGCCGCTGCAGATCTCGCGGTGTTTGGCCGCCGCGCCGCCATATTGTGTGACAGTATTTTGATTTGGACTGGGCTGGCGGAGCCGCGCTAAGAGCGAGCGAGAGCTGGGGGGGTGGGGGGAGGGCAGGCGAGCGCGAGGGGGGTGGGAGCAGAGGTAGGGAGGCCGAGCGAGCCGGAGCCGAGAGTCGGGCAGCGGCGACGCCGCCCAGCCATCGCTTTTGAGCCGCGGGGGCGACGCAGCCCGACCCCCTCCCCTCCCCCTCAGCCACGAGCGGCGGCGGCGGCGGCGGCCGGAGGGAGTTGGCGGCGGCCGATCGGAGGGGGCTGAGCCGGGAGGGAGGGAGGGCTGAGGTGTCCTCCCTGCCGGGTGGAATCGGAGGCGGCTGCGGCGGCGCTGGCGGCGGCCGTGGTGGCGGAGGCGGCGGCGGTGGAGACGGCTGCCCTAGTGGGAGAGGCGGCGGCGGCGGCGGCCGAGGAGGAGGAGGGGGAAGCGGCGGCGGCGGCGAAGGGTAAGCGGACAGCGCTCGGGGCCGGGCCGTGGCGGGATCCCCAGCCCTGTTCTTCCCTCGGCTCCCCGCACCACCTCTGTGTCGGGACGGGCTCTGCCGACTCGCCAGGCCCCTGTGGGGCGTCCGCTTCTTCCTCGCCTTCCCTCCCTCCGCCCCTGTCCTTCCCGCAGTGGCGAGGCACGGGGAGGCCCCCCAAGTCCTCCAGCCGGGGTGGGGGTGGGGAGCATCGGGCCTGGCCTGGGCTCCGGGGCGTGGGGGGGAGGGGAGGGCCCCTGCCCCCCGACCCGCCCTCTGCCGTGCGAGCGGGGGGCGGGGAGGCCGAAGTCGTTTTGGGGAGCCGAGGTCTGGATAACGATGACTTAGGGGCCGGGATGTCGAGGGGAGAGACAGAAGGGGATTCTGTGTGGGTCGGGGGGTGAGTCGTCCCTTTCGGATTAGGGTTTTCTCCAGTCTTCTCTGAAATGGGGCGCAAGCCCCGCTGTGACTTAGGTGTCCCTATTACAGAGCTCTCAGACTCCTAGTTTTCTCCCGATCACCAAATCGAGGTGCAGACAGGGAGGCTGCGAGGGTCTCTTGGCATTGCTGACAGGTGACAGGTGGATCTTTCTGTTGCGATGCCCTGGAATTGTTCGGTGCGGAGTTGTGTACTAAGTTAGAGACCGTGTGAGTTTGTATTTATGTGTTTGGCCGTGTTTCATTCCATATATAGTATATTTGAGATGTTAGGTTTCCATTCAAGTCAGCTTAATTGTTGTGGAGAAATTCTTCAAATGTTTCTGATAAGAGGGGTTTCCAGGACAGTGGAGGGAATTTGCAGCTTCACAGGGCTTTCTGGGTGGTTCGTGAAATTCAGGTCCCCAAAGCTGGAGGAGGCTGTTCAAGCCTTTAGTTAATGAGTACTAAGGTCGTATTCAAGACAACTGTAATTTTGTATCCATTTTGTCTGTTTTATGTAAGGTTAGAAAGTGTCAGATTTTAAGGTCAGGTTGATTCACATGTTACAAAAGGAAATACTTTCTGTCCTAGCGCACTCAAAGATGATATTGCTCATTTTACGGTTTCAGATTTGACTGGGAATTTTGGTGGGCATGGAATAGAATTTTTGCTTTCAGTTTTTACTTACTGCTTACAGTAGCAGAGTTTTGACACCTTTTCGAAAAAAAATACCCTTCGGTTCCTTATAACAGTGAATTCACAATTGATTTTAAAACTTGACAGTTTGAAACTTTAAAGTTTGAAAACATAGCAATTCTTAATAAAGGAAGGCTTGCTTTTCACTTTAGTGTATGCTTTGGGCGATCACTTGGATTAGAAACCATGGGAGAAATTGTCCAGATTCATGAGCCACGGACTAAATTAGTGTCCACTTGGTTTTAGAAGGATCCTATAGCTTTTCAAAATCGTGTATGGAATGAATATGTTGAGTGATGGCACTATCAGTGTGTTAACAGGAAATAGAACAAAAATTCCAGTGATTCAGAACTTCTGTTTGGGTGCCTTCCCCCCAACTCTAACCGGTTTTTAATAGAGGGTGCTTGAAGTTTTAAATCTTAAAGAATCAAATTGAAAGTTGAGTATGTTAATTATATTAGCACGTTATCCACTGATTGATTATACTCCATCATTTCATTTTTCTCTTGGATGCATGAAATAACTTCTCCTGAGTTTAAAAGTATTTTCCAGTGGACACTCACAAAATACCACTACTCAAACCTTGTTATTGAAACTCTCATAATAGAACCTGTTCTTTTGTAACTCATTAAAAAGTGGATGAAATGATCAGCGGTTCAAATGATATGCTTCCTGAAAATAAATTTTAACTTAAATCAATCCCATTTGATTGAAGGAGCACTATGTTTGGTCCTTTAGTGGAAAGCAGCTCTTGCCTTCAGTTAAAGATATTGTAAGACTCATGTACAATTTTTACAGCTAATGAAATGAGAGAAACTCCAAATAGTAGGCATTACTCTAGATCCCTGATTATGTCAGTGTTGAGCATTGCTTCTTTTATTGTTAGTAACACATTACATGTGGGAAGTGTCTTAACATTATTGGTTTTTTGTCTTAACAGAAATAAAGTTTTATTCTACTTTGTAACTTTCTCTGAAAGGAAAATTCTTTTCCCAAAGTGCTGTTTAGAACAAGATGTACTTATGTATCAGTGCATCTACTGCACTTTGAAAAACAGGTATACTGTGCAGGGTCTCCACAGTTCCACTTACATGTCAGAAAAGACCTTGAGGAATATCTGAATTTTCTAAAACTGCATATTTTTTTTAGTTATATTAAAATTAAAAGTTTTTTATCAATATCAGCATACTTTAAAAGAGAATTTTTGACTTGCTACAGATTGTTTAATGTTTCTCATAACCTTTATGATATGTAAGGATCATAAATTAAAATCATTCAAAAATGTTTTAATTCCCTTCTGTCTGTACTTGGCTAGGTTCCCACGACCCAGAGAACAGTAGTAGCACTTTTCCTTTGTTTCACTTATGCCATCTTTATTTACTCTTAAATTGGGACTCACAGGATTATGAGATAATAAAGGCAAGTGTGATGATTGAGGCAAAACAGTAACAAGGAGGAGGAGATAGGGTATAAGATGTTAACAGAGGATTTGATGAATGGTTTTAGGGAGCTAGGAATATGGAGCTGGGGATAGTGGTAGCTGCAACCATAGGAAAATAGCCATGCTGAACTGTACTGAGGAGATGTGTTCTCAATCTTTTGGTAGGCTCTGGCAACCTATATGTGTCATATTATTTTAAACCCTTTACAGTAAGATGGTAAGAAATTTGGAGACATTGAACTCATATGAAAATTAAATGTATGTTCACATTTATTTGCCTCTGGCATATAGTTCCAAAATCTATAGAAGATTTAAATACTTTTTCTAAGGATTCTGATCCTAAAAAAAAAAAAAAATCAAGGACACTTGCTTACTTAGAAAGTACTGTTGGAGTTGCCAGGTACTGTACTTTCTACAGTTAACCTTGACTGTGATCTTATATCTACAGTCTAGGATTAAGAGAAAAGCACTGTCTTTTTCTTTGGTTTCTAAGCATCCCATCTCTTAACACAGTCTGTTTATTAGCAAGTGCTCCTTTACCTACATTCGGCCTTTTAGTTAAAAAAGTGGGGGGAGAGGGGATGGAAGGGAGAGTGCCAGAATAATAGTCACAAAACTCCTGTGTTGAAGTTATGCATTTCAATTAGATTTTTATTGATTTTCTCATTTCCTAATCTTTACAAAAGGATGGAGCACAGCAAGAAAGAAGTGCCAGCTGAGAAGCTGATGTTTCAGTGGGATACTCATCAGAATTGCTACAAAGTAAACATGGAATGTTAATATGAATAAAATATCTCTGAAAACTTTTAAAGTTTTGACAAAGCAGTGCAGTTCATTCAGAGTATTTATTCACAAATGAATTTACACAGAGTCCCTATCTCCTGATAATGTTTGATAAATGAGGCTTTGCTGAATCTGACATTTTTATTTATCTCATTCATTTTTTGTTTGTTTGAGATAGGTAGGGTCTTGATACAGAGACCAGGCTGCGTTGAACTCAGAATCCTCCTGCTTCAGCCTCTCACGTGTTGGGATTCAGGCGTGTGCCACCATACATGGCTGCTAGGATAAAACTTTAATAGGGAATTTTATTATTTTCTAATTATCAATTCCAGTTCAAATTCTGAAGTGGTATCCTGTATAGTAAAGAGAAAGGAACTGATGCATATTGAATTCCTACTTTGTGTCAAGCTTTTGTTCATTTCATAAATATTTATTAAGCACTTAGTATGTGTTAGGGACGCTCCCAGATGTTGGAGATGTAGTACTGAACAGCAGATAAAAACTTATGTCCTCACATGTTACATTTTAAGTGGTAGAAGATATAACAAATGAATGAAATATAGTGTGTCAGGGGAAAAAAGTCTTGTGGAGAAAAATAAAACAGAAGAGGTGGTTGGGGAATAAGCATTGCTTATTTGATCTTTTAAAAATTGTATAAAGAGTAGTATTCTTGATTTCAAAAAGCAGAAACTCGTACATAATTTTTTTTCTTTGACTAAAAATATACTTGATAACTTGGGAACAAAATTATATTTGTACTTCAAAGTTACAGGATTTCAATTAAAAGGAATTTCCTATTGTTACTGTTTCAGAAAGCTGCTTTGTGACTCTCAGTAGAACATTTTGGCATTTACTATCCTGGTTTGAATCCTGGTGTGCCACTGGATTTGGGGCCAATTACAGTCTCTTAGCTTCTCTGAACCTGTTTTCTACTCTGTAAAATGAATATGTCTATAAAGTTGTTGTGTTGTTCAATTATACATTTTATGCAGATTATCTTATATGCAGTAGAGGCTCAGTAAACTGCAATTTTTTTGTTTACTGCTATCTGGAATTCTATCAAACAAGCATGGTTGGAGTTGGGGACCCTCCAAGAAGCTCTTAACAGCACTGTGCTGTCATTGTTTAATGTACATTTCATTCAGCCAACTAAAGCAGTCTTGTCTTGCCTGATAGCATAAGTTTAATCAAAACAAAAGTCTAACTTAAAGTCACTGGTACTTTTGGAGCGTTCATGCATGTTATCTAGTCATTGTAATATCAGGAGTAACCTTATAGCTTTTTTCTGGTGAAGGAACATTATGGCTTATCTTGTCATACAGGTTTTGAGCTAGATCTAAACATTTTGACAAGAAGAAAACAAATACTACAAATGCTGTATAAGATTTCAGTTCTTTTTTTAAAAGCATTTAGTGTAGTGACTGTCCAGTAGTTAAGTATTCAGTCATTGTTCACATTTGTCATTTTTTTCTCCTTTATTGTATGAACAAGGTATTTCAAAGAATTTACAAAGTATTAAGGAAAACATTTACAAAGACAAAAGAAAATAATGTAACTTGTGAATGAGTTTTTTGAGGGAGGAACAGAATAGCCATTCAAATTGCAAAACTTATTTTCATTTTTACACTGGGAGATTACTGAGTTGAGCTTCTCCAGGATAAACCAGGTCTTCTTTTCATTTTAGTCTTTACTCCAGTCTGGTCAGTGCTTGGCCTGCCTGTAGCTAGAAGCTCCGTGTGTTTCAATGTTCAGTAGTTTGTAGTGGTAGTTTCTTGGCACATCACAGCTGTTTTTGATAGTAAATGCCTTCCATGTCTGAAAGGTTAGGGACTGCATTGGACTTAAATTTTTGAATCTCTTGCTTTAACTTAGATGTTATGCAAAGACTTCTGAATGCCTTTTTTTTTTTAATCTAGCCAAAAATTTGAAAAAAAAAAATCTAGCAATTGAAAGAAAGATGTCAATTGTTTGCAGCCAATTTAGTGTTCACTGACCTATTCCTACGATGTTGTTGACTTGAATGTAGTATAACAGTCCACCCTTCGTCCAGTTGATACTGCAGATTGAACTACAATCCCAGCCCTTTTTCATTTTTTATTTTGAGTCAGGGTCCCACTCAGCTCAGACTGGCCTTGAACTCTCAGCCCTTTGCCTCAGCCACCCGAGTAACTGGGATTACAGGTTTGAACCACCACACCTGGCAGAATACAGCAGTTTTTGGTTTTGTTTCTTTTTTAGAATACAACAGTTTTTAAAAGCGAAATAGAAAAAATAATTCATGCATAATCATACGCTCCTAATTAACTTAAAGGATCAAGTTTATTTTGACCCTTTAAGGCAATTTCAGTGAAACTGTAGATTTGTAGTTGCTTTATGAATTAAATGGTTCAGTCATGTACTTCCATTCCTATGGTGTGGGGAATTCTGGTGTTTCCACAGAAAGAGGAAAACATCCCCCAGTTCCCCAACACCCACTTTACCAGCAGTCATTCCTCAGATGTTTAAATCTTAGCACTAGTCAGCCTTTTCCTGTTCTGTTGCAAGTTATCCTCTACTTAATGAATAATAATTTTAGCTTTCCTGAAAAATTAAGACTTCTATCTAATTCTAAGACCTTTAGCCATTTACAGAAAATATTTCTTGGATTAAAAAAAAAATCCCTACAAAGTTTGTATAGAATAGAATGTTTTATATGCAAATTTGTTATGCCACACCATTATTTTGGAAATGAGGAATATGTAGTTAACTATTTATGATTTTTGTTTGCTTGTTTTTAAAATCCTTGGGCAGAAATAATTCTGCAAGCTGTTACTTTGGGTGGCTTCAGAAAGAAAGTCTGATTTACCCATTAACAGGTACAACAGAGGAGGGCAGAATAAAATAAGAATTTCTAGTAATTTAATTGCCTTGTTACAGAAAATGGTATTCTTGTTTCACTTAAGAGGAAAAATTTTAAAAAACAGGGCTAATGCCAGTGCTTCTAGTAAGAAGTCATAGAAGCCAAATGATAAAGTAAAGTTGGGAAGGCCCAAGAGAGAGACGGAAAGAGGAAGCAAGACCAGAGAAGTGTGGGTTTTAGCAGAGGTTTTGATGGAAATATGTAAATGCTGATTGTTACTAATAGAATTGTTCAACACCATGACTACATTAAGGAATGTGTTATGTGAAAAAATAGTAAGCTCTTATATCCCAGTTTGTTAATTACTTTAATCCAAGCTACTAAATAATACTGTTATCTTGAGTCTTGGCTCAAAATTTTCACTCCTAAGATTTGTTTACATTAAGGAAAATTACATTTGACTTTCCTACCTTAATGTTAACCTTTTAATGTTAGCAAAATTGAGCACATATAAGCTTGTTTCCCATCTACTTAGTTAACCAGGCGGCCCAGTGGTACTGCTTGTTGCATCAGTACAGAGCCAATGGCATTTCTGTAGAATGGTTTTCCTTAATGAGAAAACATACTTGCTAATACAAATGAAAACTTTAACTCAGCAACTTGACCTTGCACAACATTGATCCCCTATCAGGCAAGTTTTGTTTAGGCAGAGAAATCAGCAAAATCAATAATTCTAATATGAACTGGGAGGAGTTTACTTGATTTCAATTTTCTTTTAAGAACTGAAGAATATACTAGTTTTGATTTAAATTGACCACTTTGTTAACTTTTCAGATTGTCAAGTCTCTGCTGCCTTAATTAAATATGTTAATTTTAGTGTGTTAGAGATCAGTAAGAAAAGACCTAGACCTTAAACTCAAATGAGCCGAAGTTCACATCTGTATTCTACTGCTAGCTGTAGCTTTCTCAGATACCGTTCAAACTTTTTGAGCCAAAGACATTTCTTAAGAAGGTGGATATTGTAATACCTACCTTGCATGGCAGTTTTAATTACATTTTCTATATTTCTTATGTTCCCTAGCACAATATCTACTTGGGACCTAGTAGCATTAGTAAGTAGTACTAAAAATGGAAAGCGGATCCTGTGCTTTTGTTTTCTTTTTTGTATGTGATGCTGGGGAGTGAACCCAGGGCTTCATGTACACTGAGCTACACCACAGCCCATCCTGTGCTTTTTTCAGGCAGTTTTCTTTTCTATACCTTTTTCATATTAGCTTCATTTTGCTTACCTTTTACTTAGCAAAGTTTAATTATAAAAGTAATAATCTTTCAAACTTGTTCTAGTTACATGAGATACATAGCTTAAATGATGGGAAGTAGTTTCACGCTTTGATTTTTGCTTTACTAGATTTTTTTCCTTTAGGGTATCTGCTCTCTTCAGTTCTACAAATGGAATGAAAGAGAAATAATGTATACTGTTTAATTTACTGTAACTTTTTAGCCAAGGATAAAATAAAGTCACTATTTTTAAATCACAAAATAAGCATGCAGATTATTAATTCTTTATATTTTTCTTTCCTGTTCCTGTGGACAAAGTTTATACTTTGAAGTTAATCCACAAATCCATAATTTACTTCTCATGTAGAAAAATCACTTGATAATTGGCGTGGATCAGATGTTGAAAACTCCTCAAATACGAGGTTACTTATTATAGTATAACCTTGTGCCGCTTTGTCTGCTAGCTAATGTTTTTCAGTTAATTGGGTAATACTTTATGTCCATATTTCATATTCAGAAGGGAATAGTGCTATCTCATCCCTGTGCTTATTGCTAAATTAACTTATAATTGTATTTTGCTTTGATTTTTCCTAAAAATTTTGTCTTAGTCCATTGAGTACACTGGTGTGATTGTTGTAGAATATTTTGCTTTACTAATAGTATTAAAACTAATAATACTGGCTAGGGTTGTGGCCCAAATGGAAGAGCATCTACCTAGCAAGCTCAAGGCCCTGAGTTCAAACACTGGTACTGGCAAAAAGAAAATTGGTAATGAAATACATGTTATAAATTCTATTGTACAGATGCTTGCTTCCATATTCTTGACATTCTATGGGCCTTTTTGTCTTTTATGTTTTTCTTT